CTTCTATCTATTGCAACTTCTGAAAAAATTGTATGAAATAAAGATTCTCTCTCCATAGCACTGTTCTACAAATGTAATCTAATTAAAAACCTCTAATTATTTTATAAATGTAACGATTTTCCAGAAGCCTTAGCAATTGAAAGTTTGTAATACTAATAAAACGCTAATAAAACATGCTGTTTTCAAACTACTACTCCTCCTCCGTTTTTAAAGATATAAACACCAAATTAGCATGCAAGATAGTATATTTAATATAGATTAGAGCTATGGAAAGATTTAATGGATGTAAAAATACCAATGGCGTAAAAAAGCTCATTTGAAATACAGAAAATTTCTTCTTTATCATAATACTTCTATCTATTGCAACTTCCGAAAAAAATTGTATGAAATTAAAATTCTCTCTCCATAGCACTGTTCTACAAATGTATCCTGATTAAAAGCCTCTAATAATTTTATAAATGTAATGATTTTCCAAAAGCCTTGGCTATTGAAAGTTCATAATACTAATAACGTAATAATGTATTTGAAAATATATTTTGTTACACTATTTCCTTTTTTAGAGAAAAAGGGTACCATAAAAAAATCCGCATATATTATCGAGGATAAGCTTTTCAGAAAATGTCCATATTAATATTAGGTGAAGCTTTTCGGAAAATGTCCGCATTAGGTGATTCGAATTATTTGTTTTATTAATTTGTACGTCCAAATATCATTGGCTCTTACATGTACTTATTTATTATTTGAGAATATATATATATACTATTCATAATAGTAGTAAATAATAATAATAATAGTAATAATAATAATAATAATAATAATAATAATAATAATAATGGCCTCAAAAAATTCGAGAAGTAATGCTTTTCATGCAAGTTTCCTTGATGGTTTAAGAGGTTTAGCTGCACTTTCAGTAGTTTATTCACATTCACAAAATCTATTCAAACAAACACTTCCTTATTATACATATAATATGATTGGTTATGATGGCGTTCGATGTTTTTTTGTACTGTCAGCTTTTTTATTAACGTTTCGTGGAATTTTAGAATGGGAAGCATACCTTGAAAAAAGAAATATTCCAAAAGAAGAAGAGGTGGCGAAAAAACAATTAGGTAATCTTGAGTATCGAAATGTTAGCGGTAATGATAATGAAGAGAATGAAAAGAATGGAGAGAATGAAGAGAGTGAAGAGAGTACTGGATCAAATTCATCAATTCCATTATTAAATGATGATGATGAGAATGATAATAATGAGGTAGACAAATTTTTTTTTAATGTAAATAATGATGGTAATGATTATAATTAGTTGATAAATTACTTATCACTCAATTTTTCAATTAATGAATCAATTAAAAATTTAGGAATACCACGAAGAAATTATAGGACTAGATTCAAAAACAATAAAAAATTTATCAGCAAGAAAAGGAATTTCCTCAACATTATATGATAATTTGCCAGCAATTAAAATATGGGCCAAATTTTTTCTACGTAGATTTATGAGAGTATATCCACCTTATGCCATTCTTTTGATTTTAATTGCCTACAATAAACTTATTGGTGAATCATTTTATTACATGGTGACACCTGATAACCTTATTTCTTATCTTACCTTGACTGAATCTCAATTCATTTTTTGGTCAATACCACCTGAAATGAAGGTAAATTATTTATTAATTAATTATTATTACTTATAATATATACCAAAAATTTAAAATTTTCTAAATTTGATTATTATTATATTATTTATATAGTTTTACTTATTTATTCCAGTAATCATAATAGGATATGTAGGACTTGGACATCTAGGAAAAAAACTTATGAAAATCACTGCTTATGAAGAAAAAGGAGAATTGATTGGTCGGGTTATTGCCTTTTTTATAATCGTATTTGCACGTACAATTATTGCATTCACTCTTGATAATAGAAATTCTTTATGGTTAGAAGGCACAGCTCATTATTTTTTAGCTGGATCATTAGGAGCTATATTATATAGAGAAGCTATTAGATTAAATTTATTACCAAAGAGTGAAGAGGAAGAGAAAAAAGATGATAACAATAATGAAGAAAACATTTACAAAATTCAAAAAAAACCTAAAAATAAAAAGGATTTATTAGTGTCATTAGTATATAATTATTTTTACCAAAAAATACCTACATTTCACACGGCACTTCGTAATATGTTTGATTTATCTTGTTACATAATGTTTATAATAATTCTATGTACGATGCCAAGATTATCATCAAAAGTTTTGGGCTATTCTAATGATCTTCAGTTGGAGACAAATGCAGGAGGGTTATTATATACAGCCTTAATTCTACTTGGGCTATTATCACGCAACGAATCATTTGTGAAATTATTATCATGGAATTATTTTTGTTTTTGTGGCAAAATTTCATTTAGTATCTATCTTTTACATCCAGTAGCCTTCAATCTGGTAAATAATTATATTAATGAGTATCTTACATTTATTGGTGATGTTGAAACACTCAAGGATGTAGATCAATCAGATCCAATTGAAAAAAATAATGATATGTTTGATTCGGTGATGTTAACTTTTTTGGTTACAATAATTCTAGCATGGTTTTATCACAAACTCATTGAATTGCCATTCATGAATTTGGCAAATGCTATTGCAAGAAAATGGTTAAAATAGACAATGTATTAGCAAAAGAATGTGGTTGTGAAGGAACAAGGATAGGGATTAAATAAATATATTACATTATATAAAATGATAAATTTAATTTAATTTATAAACTAGAATAATAAAATAAAATATCTTAATATAATTTATTAATAATTTTCACACTGCTCTACATTAAAGTGAGTGATTGTAAAATAATTTTTGATAATTCATAAAACCTTTTATTTAATTCAATTTCTTCATCATTTGAAGTTCCTTCCTTCATCATCTTTTTATGTATTTAACAGTGTGTTCAAAAAAAAAAAAAAATGGCTCGCACAATAAATCACATATCTCAACAATTATGCAAGGCAGATAAACAAAACTAGATTCATTTGAAAGCTTATCAAATATTTTATTAAATAAAAAAAATCAATAAGAAATTATACCACTGTTATTTTTCTAAAACCAACCCACATTCCTGTTTCATAGACATAATAATATTTTTGACCGTTTCCTGAAGAATTCTTCGACCATAAATCCCTCAATTCGTCAACATTCCTTTGCATACTTTTTTCAACATTATTTTTTATGATATACCACACATTTTCAACGGGATTAAGACCAGGACTGTTGGATGGCCAGTCTATTATGCAAATTCTTTTTTCAAAAATGAAGGATTTTGTGACACGTGATGCGTGCTTCGGATCATTATCCTGTTGCAAGCGCCATGTAATAAACATATATACAAGCGTTTATTATCATTCAAACAAGATCCCCAATCGTTTTTTGTCATGCGAATATTTTTTCTCCATTTTTTACATTTTGGCGCCATTTTTTTTGAAATACACAAATCATCTACTATCTCAATACAAATCCTTTAGAGATAAAACTAGTAAATGCTTGTAAAATAAATGATTAACATATAGAATTTTGAGTTTTGTCAATTGTGAATTTCACAACACAAATCATCTACTATCTCAATAAGTACTGAAATAAAATTACCACATGCGCGCACCTAGAGATGTTCCAGCATAGAGAAATTATATAAATAACTATGAAAAAAATTTTTTTTTAACATTCTTTATTATGAAAGTTTGGAAATGTGCAAGATGTAAATATTGTAATTATGATCACATGGAAGATATTATTATTATCGGGACATTTAAAAAATCACTTTTCAATCTTTTTTAGTGTAAATAAGAAATAACAACAATTCATCACCATCATCTTCGATTCTTCGTTATTGTCATTGTTATTATCATTATCATCAACCATTCAAGAATAATTCATCAATCAAATTAGTAATTTCATAGACTGAATTTCTAAAAGTGGACAAGAAGATTTGGAACTACTGTTTGCAAAGTCAATCTACAATGTGGTTTATTCCTGAATTAAAACCAACACAAGATTTATTGGGGTATCCGTTGATTATCTGGATGTTTGAGTACTTGGTCAATCAGCCAAGTTAAAAATTTGACATCCGGATAATCGACGGTTACTCGATTATTCACTGAGAATTTTGGATTTGTAATTTATCAAATGTGAAATATAATTAGATGTGGAAGAATCAACACGTATTGTTATGCCACAACATTAGGTGTCTCCAGATATATTCACTTTGCATAATGCGCTTTTAGATTTATATTAACAATTTCGATTGGTTCAATTAAATTCCATATTAATATCCAGGAAAGAATGCCTCTAATATTACGTGTTAGTGTTACCACTGATTATTCACAAATTATCTGGTGAAAATTTTCAACTCCTGATTAAATTTGGCGGCAGATATAACTAATTACCTTTTGTGCAAATTTAGCATCTATATCTTGAAAATGGAGTAGTAGTAATTTGAAAACGGTATTTGTATGTTTTAAGGAAATACATAAAAAAAACTTATACAAATACTCCAATTAATATTAATATTAATTTTTAACCGAATGGATTTTCCTGACAAAATGAATCGTTTACCATTGGGCCCACAAAACTTCAAAAAAAATATCAATTGAAGCAATTGCATACTATATAAATAATAAAATTATTTTAATAAACTAGCCTAACAAAAATATTGAGACTGGTGCTGGAATAAGCTAGAACTACAGACAATTATGATGGTGTTTGTTGGCTATTGGAAAAAGTGGATAAAACAGGAGACACTGATTTTAATAAAGAAAAGAAGGGAATTATTTTGATTAATGATATGAATGATAAACAACTTTTACATGATCTTTCATCAGCTTATGAAATTGCATTGCAGGAAGTTAAAGACTTATCCAAGGAGAAAAGAGCTCAATGGGTAGAAG